CCCCAAAACCCCAAAACCCCAAAACCCCAAAACCCCAAAACCCCAGTATATCATAATTAGATTGAAACTACTTTATTTTTAAGCTTCTAATACCTGAGTTAATATATAAATCTAATAACTGAAACTGTAAAAATTAACCAAATTTCAAATTCCTGATGAATTATAAACCTATTCCTCCAGGTTTGTTACTTTGTGAAGTGTTTTCTTATTCTTCTCTTGGCATAAATTATCACAGGCTTTGCGGATACCATCCAAAGTTTTACCTCTAAAGCTTTCTAAAAGCTTCAGGTAATCCAAGTTTTTGTAGTCAGACCTTCTTATGAGCCTTTTCAACAGCTTAGTCTCTCTTACCGAAAATTTGTCATTTGTATTGTTGATTAAACGGCTGACTAAAAATTCACATGACTTCTCAGTTTCAAGAGTACTTCTAATTGTTTTGATTATATTGAAAGAAGAATTTCATGCCCTAAATTGCACTTTCTTGAGATCTTCAAAACAAATATAACCTTTAGATTCATATTTTCGAAATTCGTTAAAGAGAGCAATATCCTGCTTCTTGCCCCATCTTTTACTTTTTGATTTATTCTTTTTGCCAGATAAACATTTTGGAGGTGGTTCTTCTACCTTCTGTTCAACCTCTCAAATTTTTGATAACTGCTTATTATCCTTAATTTGTTCAAAATATTTGAATTCATAAAAATTGGAAGACTCTAAGCATCTGTCTTCATAAAACTCTTCTTGAATTTCTCTATACTGCATGTGTTCATTTTCTTTCTGACTATTATGCCCATCCAAGTGATCATGACTAAAAACCTTGAAGAGTTCTTCATCTTCATCACCATTACTTGGGTTAAAAATGTCAGAGAGGTTATGGAACTCTTGGGCTTCGAGAAGTGGGAAAGAAGGTGGGCTGGGAGATGGAATGTGGATTGAGGGGTGACTAGGTGGGGTATTGGAAGGGAGGTAGATGCCCAGTGTGGAAATGTCGGTCTCGTGGCCAAGGGGGTTGGAGGTATTTGGGGTGTTTGATTGGAAGTTTGTTGTTGTGGAATTCATTAATAATATTATCGGTTATTCAATGTAGTTATAGGTTTTAGGGGTTTTGGGGTTTTGGGGTTTTGGGGTTTTGGGG